GTGTGTGTGTGTGTGTGTGTGTGTGTGTGTGTGTGTGTGTGTGTGTGTGTGTGTGTGTGTGTGTGTGTGTGTGTGTGTGTGCGTCAAGCGCGCGCACTTTTGGTGTGCTGTGGTGTTTTGGGCCGCTGTTGTGTGAGAGCGAGCGAGTGAGTGAGTGTGCTGTGCTTCGGTTCCTACCACCAGCGCTCGCTCTCCTCATGAGCTTGCCTCTGTTCTCAGTTCCCCTTTTCGACATGCCAAACCATTCAACCAACTCACTTACTCACTGCTTGCATGCATGGTTGCTTGTGGTGTTGATTGCTTGTGATGTTGATGCTAGGCGCTAGCCTTGCGACGAAAATGTCTACCCGTGTCTCGCTCGAATCCCTGGAGAACCTTCTGTGCGAAATTTACATCATGGCCTCTGCTCGCTTCCTCGTCGGCACCTTCTCCTCCCAGGTCGTGTGTGCCGCCTTGCTGCACATGTGTGTGTGTGTGTGTGTGTGTGTTTGCGGTGTACTTCTTGTACGCGTGTGTGTGCTGCGTGATGGACACAATGAGGCGAGCTTGAAATGAGCCCCACCAAGCTTTGTCTCGCCGTCACAGCGTCTGGTTGCCTGGCTGTGTCTCCCCTTCACACACACATTCACTCACTCACACACCCTCTCACTTACACACACACACACACACACACACACACACACACTCACACGCACTCACACTCACTCACTCACACACACACCACACACACACACACCTCACACTTATGATCTCGCTCGTTCTCACCCGTAATACCCGCTGTTACCACCTTTGCCAGGTGTCTCGCGTTGTCGCTGAGCTGAAAATGTTCAACGGAGACTTTGATGTGTTGGAGCGCACCGCTTCCCTGGACGATCAGTGGTATGGCGTTATCTGAAGCCCGAGTGAGCGAGTGCTGTTTCGTTACGCACTGGGAGAATGGAAGACTTGTACATCGCGTGCACCTTCTTCCCTTGTTCGGTAATCTCCTTTTTGGTCATCATTAACTGTCTCTTCACAACAACATACATCAGCGTAGCTCGTATGCCAGCGCAGCGCAGACACGCCACGCAACCAGAGAGTTCGCAGACACGGGGAGACTGAGGCGGGGCGGGGAAAGAGGGGGAGGGGGAGACCCAGCTGACACACACACACACACATGTACACACACACACACACACACACACACACACACACACACACATGAACACACACATGTACACACACACACACACAGACAGAGCACAGCACCAAACGCAATCTCCCGCATTTCGTCGTGTCGCACAAGAAAACTCCCCAACCAACCACAAACCACACCGCCAACAACTAACTGCACACACACAACGCCGCACATGGAGCACCTGGAAGGCGTGCTGTCGACTGCGCCGCAGGAGCTGGTGGACGTGGTGAGCAGGCTCGTGTCCAGGGTGCAGGAGCTCGAGGGCGAGCTTGAGCGCTTGAAGGACGCCAAAGTCGAGGAGCTGTACGCGTTTCACCATCGAAGAATCAGCAGTGGCAACGGCGGCGACGTCAAGCACATTCCTCGACACACCAGCGCACAGCCAAACAGCGCCAGTGAACCAAACGCACACGAGCCTGCACACGAGCCTGCACACGAGCCTGCACACGAGCCTGCACACAAGAGATGGAAAGACGGCGGCAGCCCAACGACAGCAGCTGCGTCCACGCACCAGCAAGACACACATGTGACCAACCACACGCACAACGGCAGCAGCACAAGTAGCAGGCAGAACAACCTCGACAACAGTCTGCACTCCCACACATCGGCACACTCTGCGTCACCGCACACGCCGCAGGAATCACCAGCGACAACTGCAGCCTCGCAAGAACGCACGAGCGCCACGCCCAGGTCCAGGTCAGGCCAAACCAACACAGCTGCCAGCGCCGGCGACACCACAACCCACGACGGTTCCCGCGCGAGAACGTCGTCCTCGCCAGTGGTACCAGCGACAAGCAGGGCAGCCGCTGGCGATGCCAGTGGCGCCTCGTCACCAGCTCGCCAACGCGGGAACTCCCCGTCTCCAGCGTCACACGCTCATCGCAGCAGGACACCGCCTCGCCGTGGTGGCCAACAGCGCCGCGACATGCCGCGCCCTGCACAACACCATCGTCCGCTGCCACGCCCAGATCGGCCCCCATTCGCCCATTCCCCACACCAGCCCCCTTATCACCACCGCCACGACGTCGCACGCGCGCCTCACCACCCGCCACCGCCACCACGCTGGCAACAAGGGCGCACCTTGCTCGCGCAGCCAAGACAGCCTCCACCGCCTCCACCTACACAACCAATATTGCGAGGTCCGGCGCAAGGCGTGGCACCACCACGCCCGTGGCCTGCGCACCCGCGCTATGATCATCCAAATCGCAGCTGGCCGCCCCCACCGCCCTTCCCACACCACAGGTATTGAACTGCGAGCGGTGCACATCTAATCGAGCATGTACATTGGACAAGAGCGCGAGAGGAGGATGGGAGTAGGCGCACTTGCGTGGAGGAGGAGGGAGGAAGGAGGAAGGAAGGAGGGTTGCCGTGTGAATGGTGAGGTAATCGGACGTTGCTGCGGCACGTGAGGGTTTGCAGTTGTGGAGTGGTGCGTACATTCGCGTGCCAACCAGCCACAAGGAGGGGCAACGCCAGCGTGCTCGCATTAGAGTTGGCGCGCAACAAGGCCAGCTTGGCGGTGGGGTTGGTCGTGTATTTGTGAATGACAGAGAGATGGGGAAAGAGGTCGTGCCGCTCACATGGGGGTGACATGCAGAACGTAGTAAACAATCAGACAACTGCATCGCTGCTGAAAGGAGGAAAGGGAAGGGAAGAATAACAGGGTGCAGGGAGCAGGTAATGCTAATGGTCCTAGACACACAACACAGTGGGCAAGGGAGGGAACAAATGCGCAGAGAGCAGCTGCAGCAGCGAAGCATGTACACAGGTGCTGCTTGCATTTGCAGGTGGAGGAGGTATGCACAAACACAACAACCAATGAATCAAGGGCAGGCACACACACACACACACACACACACACACACACACACACACACACACACACACACACACACACACACACACACACGCACAGACACACGCACAGACACACACGCACAGAGACACACAGACACGCACACAGACACACATACACACAGGCACACACAGACACGCACACAGACACACATACACACAGGCACACACACACACACACACACACAGACACATACACAGGCACAGACACACATACATACACACAGACACACAGAAAACCCCCCCCCCACACACACACGCACGCACAGACACACACACACACACACACATACAGACACGCAGGCACACACACACACACACACACACAAAACAGAGGGTTTGACGACCTCCCTCCAAACTTGTATCTCTTGTTCACTGGTCATCAAACGCCGGGAGAGGGGCAAGGGAGCTGGTGTCCTCAGCAAGGAACGGCAGCGTGAGCAGCAGCGCCTCCTTGCTCAGCTCCTGCTGCACAGGCGTCCCCGGAGTCGTGCGCGCCAGCCGCACCACGTGCTGCAGGTATGACTGCAGCGCAACCCGGCGCTCCTCCACCACCTTGGTGTTGCGGCTGCCAAGCGTCACCTTTGGCGGGAACGACAGCGCCTGCGCGCCCTGCAGGTGGCGGGACACGTCGCGGTGGAACTCGAGCAGCTCCCGATACCGCCGGTAGATGACCCACTGCTCCTCGCCCACCGTGATGTAGATCTGGTACACGTGGTACTCGCTTCCGCGGTACTGCATGGTGGTGAACGTCGGGATGCTGATGGACAGCGCTTGCTCGCGGGCCGGACGCGCCCCGAGCAGCCGGATCTCCGACGGCTTCAGCGGCGCAACGGCCCCTTTCTCCACCGCCTCGTCCAGCCGCGACAGCACCCGCTCCAGCGTCGCCTCCAGTGCCTCAATCTCCCGCTTCTGCGTCTGCACGTGCACAACCATCGCCGACACCTGCTCTTCGAGTTGTTCCTCAGAGGCGTTGCGTTCGCGCACCGTCGCCTGCAGCGCAGACACCTCACCCTCCGCTGCCGCCAGTTTCGCTGCAAGGGAGGACTGCTCGCCTTGCACGTCCTCCAGCTCCTTCTTCAGCGCTGCCGCCTGCGCCTGCTCTGCTTCCAGCTTCACCTGCAGGTCCCGCTGTGCTGACAGCGCCGCTGCAGACTGCAGCAGCCGCGTTTGCTCCAGCTCCTCGCGCGCCTTGACCGCCTCGTCCCGCTCCCGCGTCAGCCGCTGCACCTGTGCGGCGTTGCTCTCCTTCGCCTCCTTCATCTTGCGCGCGTGCTTCGCCTTTGCGTCTGCCAGTGCCTGCGCACCCTTGTCTCGTGTAGCCGTCAGCTCCTCGTCCTTCTTCGCCGCTTCCGCCTGCAATACATTCGCACGCGCGCGCGTCTCCTCCAGCTGCCGATGCAGGTCCGCCACGGTCGATTCGAGACCGCTCACGCGCTCAGCCTGACAGCACATCATGCATGCATGCATGCGCCAGAAGTGGTGAGTGGGAAGCAGAGGGGACGAAGAGAAAAGGGGGGGGGGGTGACATGGGTCTTCCTGCATCCGCAAGCGAAACTAGTGACACACACACACACACACACACACACACACACACACACACACACACACACACACACACACACACACACACACACACACACCTTCTGCTGGAGATCGGCGTTGATGGTTTGGAGGGTGGAGAGGGACTGCTTGAACGTTGCCACTTGCTCGTGCAATGCGCTCGTGTCGTCGCCCTGCGCGTGCAAGTCCGCCTCAAGCGCCTGCTTCTCGTGCAGCACCTGTTCATGCGTCTGGGTCGCGCACAAAGCGGACAATCATGAAGGCGGGGTGTCGAGTTAGGCGCAAGAGCAAGTCGCGGTGAGTGGCGATGTTAAAGAAGGCACAAGGGAGTGGCGGAGAGAGAGACATGGGAGAAAACGGGGGAGGGAACCGGAAGGGTCAGGCATGAAGATGTTGCGAAGAGCAGCTTCCAACACCAAACGGACAAAGGGATGTAGATACCGAGCAAACACAAAGGAGGGCAACACGCACCACGACGCACCTGCTTCAAGTGCGCAAGGGCATCATCGCTCCTCTGCGCGCGTGCCAGTGCGTCCTGTTTCTCGCTGTTTGCGGTCTCCAGCGCCGCCGTCACCTCGGACACAATCGCGCTCGTGTCAGCCTATCGTGCCGCGTGATGCATGCGCGTGGGGTTGTGTGAGAGGAGCGAGCGAGTGGGCCATGTACATGCAGCAATGGTGTCGTGGTTTCACCGTTAACATTGAGTGAACGTTTTGGTTCCAAAGGAACAAACGGCACAGGCCTTACCTGAACGGTTTCCAGCTGCTGTTGAAGCTGCGATATCTCCTGTGCAGGCACAACTTTCAGAATGAGGCAAGGGCATCCATGTTCTCAACTCTCCAACGACTTGCACATTCACATGCACACACACGCAAACACACATGCAAACACACGCAAACACACATGCAAACACACCCACACACACAGGAATGCAAGCACACATGCAAACACACACACACAAGCATGCAAGCACACTTACTCACACAGACATGCACGCACACACCTGCTCGAGTGCTGTGCGCTGGTCTTCGTGTACTGCCATCAGCTGGTCACGGTCTTGCTGGTGTTTGGCATCCTGGCCCTGTAATCGTTGCTCGGCCGCAGCAAGTTGCGCCTGTAAATCAGCCACCTTCTGCTGCCAACCCGCTGTTTGTGTTTCCACGTCACGCGCTGTCGCCTGCGTGCTCTCGCGCACCCGCTCCTCCCACTGTGCAGCCCATGTGGCCTCCTTCTCCTTCCACGCGCTCTCTCGCTGCTCCGCCTCTTGCTCCAGCGCTTCCACGCGTGCCGTCAGCGTCGCCTCTCGTTCCCTTCGGGCCCGGCACTGCTGCTGTTCAGCGTCAAGCGCGCTGCGGAGGTGCTGCAGCTGCTGCTCAAACGCGGCTTCACGCTCCCGCTGCAAGCGATCCCTTTCCTCGCTGCGTTGCTGCTGTTGCTGTTGCTGTTGCTGTTCTTCTTCCCTCTGCTGCAGTTCGGCTTCCGCGCGTCGCTCCTCCAGTTGTTCCTCTGCCTGCTTTCTCTTCCTCCTCTCGTCCTCCTCTGCGTTTCTCATCGTCTCTTCCTGCTCCATCTTGTCCTGTGCCTCTCTGAGCTGCTGCTGCGCAGTGGCAAGTTCATCCGACAGCGCCTGCGCACGTGTGCGTGCTGCTGCCGCCTCCTCTGCTGCTGCATCCCTCTCCTTCTCCGCGGCGGCCACGGCCCGTCTCTGCTCTTCCTCTTGCTGCTGCTGTTGTGCTGCCGCCGCCGCCTCCAGTTCGCTCACTTTTGCTTCGAGCGCGTGCTTGGTTTGTTCCAGCTCGGCCGTGCGTGCACGTGCGGCTTCGCTGGTTGCGGTGTTGCTGTCCTGCAGCAGCTGCTGCTGCGCTTTCAGTTCGGCCAGTTCCGATTGCAGCGTGCTGACCTGCTCCTCGTGCTGGGCCGCCGCCTTCTCGCTCGCCGCCTTGTGCGCGCGCTGCATGGCTTCCAGCGCCGATCTGTGGTTTGTGTCCGTGTCCAACAACTGAGCCTGCAGCTGGTCTTCGCGCTCCTTGGCGGCCGTTGCCTTGGCGCGAAACGACGCCAGCTCCTCGTTCAGCATGTCAAGCTGGGCGGTGTGCTCCGTCTCGAGCTGCTCCTGCTTTGCCGTTGCGGCCCGCAACGCTGCTTCGCGTGCCTCCACGCTTTCTCGCAATGCCGCCATCTCCCGCGCATGGTGCTCGCGTAACCTGCTCAACTCGCCCTCGAAATCATTCTCATTCTGCTGCTGTTGTTGTTGTGGTGGTGGTGTTTGGGGGTGGGTAGCTTCGGTGTCGTCGTGTGATTGCACCGTGCTACCGTTTGCCGACGCGTGCGCGTCACTCGGCTGCGGCGAGATGCGTTGAGGCTTCAGTTCGATGTCGCGACGACCTGGCTCAGGCTGCTGTTGCTGTGAATGCTGCAAATGGTCCTTGTGCTGTATCTCCTCTTGTACTTCTTCGGCTGTCTTGCCAGCAGCAGCTTGGAGGAGTACCACCTTGTCGACCTTGGCAAACAGGCCGTGCTTCATTGGGCATTCGAAGTACCGCACGCCTCGCACCGACCCATCGTTCTTTCCCTTTGGCTCATCCAACCAAATGCCCACCCATGTGCCCTGGCGGGTTCATATGTGCGTGTGTGTGTGTGTGTGTGTGTGTGTGTGTGTGTGTGTGTGTGTGTGTGTGTGTGTGTGTGTGTGTGTGTGTGTGTGTGTGTGTGTGTACATGTATGTGTGTGTACATGTGTGTGTGTGTACATGTGTGTGTGTGTGTATGTGTGTGTGTGTACACAGCAAGCTGACAGTCGAGCCAACGTCGGGTGTACAGTCAACCACACACACACGACACCACGTCGCACCACACACTCATCACATAAATGCTCATCACACAGAACACGCATCAAATGGTCGGTCACTGACCTCCTTGAACTGTGTTTGTCCCACAAACATGACCTTGCCCTTGGTTGTGCCATGCTGCACGCGATCGCCAACACCGATGCTTCTCGGTGCGCCATCCATCACAGCCGTCGTCGTCGTCGCCGTCGTCGTCGTTGTCGTTGTGGCCACCGCAGTCGTGTCATCCATCCATCCACTCCGAGCTGCTTTGGCTTGGAGGGTGTGGGCGCAAAACAAGTCGTCACGTTTTTGCCACTCGCTGCTGCTTGCCAACAGCAGACAGCCGCAGAGGAAGATACGAAGAACGACAAGACAACAAGACGACGAACATGACGTCTGTGGCGTCAACGGAAGGAGAGGCAAAAGGGCAGCAACAACAACAGCAGCATGATGTGGAGCAGCGGGCTGCTTCATTGCAGCAGCTTGCAGACCAAGGCGTCGAGTTGGTCCAGTCCCTTGTGGCCATCGCGGATGTGCATCTCCAGGCGCAACTCAAGGAAGCCTTTGAAGTGCGTGTGTGCTTGTGTGCGGATTTGCATGTTTGTGTGCGTGTGTGTGTCTTGTCTGTGTGTGTGTGTGTGTGTGTGTGTGTGTGTGTGTCTTGTCTGTGTGTGTGTGTGTGTGCCTATGTGTGTGTGTGTGTGTGCCTATGCATGCGCCTGTGCGTGTGTGTGTGTGTGTCTGTGCACGAGATCTCGTGCCCACTTTCACCGTTTCCCTTTCATGGCCCAGTGTCTCATCCGTCAACGTTCCTCCTCACCCCACACCAGCAGAGCAGCAACAATGAGGTGCTGAACGAGCAGACTCGGAAGAAAGGAAGGAAGAAAGGGGCGCTGGAGGCCAACTCAGTGGAGGAGAACGATGAGCTGGTGGTGCGGCGGCTGCTGGAGGCGCAGCACCTGCTGCAGCGCATGGCCATGGACGGCCGGCTCACCATGCGTGGGTGGAAGTACTGGCTGCTTGAGGAAGCGGAGCGCCGCCGCCAGCTGGAGGAGTTTGAAACCTTCCAGCGCCAGCAGATTGACCTGGCAGTCAAGGCCGAATCCCACAAGAACCTGAGCGAGATCCGCGAGCGGCGGGTCCACCTGAGCGAGATGCAGCTCAACCTGCAGCGGCTGCGGGAGCGCCTGCACGAGGCGGAGCAGGAGCGCGCACGCCTCGCGGATGACATCCACCGCACAGAGCAGCTGCGCACTATCGTGAACACGCGCGTGTCCACCGAAGGCGACACAACAGCAGCGGTGGAGGAGCGGCTGCAGAATGCACAGGAGGCGCTGAGCGCCGCCATCAAGCAGCAACGCGAGGCGCAGGGCACGTGGGACGACACGGTGGCGCACGCAAACAAGGAACAGCGCGCGCACGCAGACATGATTAAGGACGCGGAGAGCCAGCTGTCGCGCGCGCAGCAGTTGTTGCAGCAGGAAGAGGCGGCAGATCATGCACCGGACGACCGCACGGATGAGCTCAAGGCAAAGGTTGCAAAGCGCATCACGGAGCAGCAGCACATCCGCCAGCAAGTGCAGGAGGCTCTCCGGGCCAAAGAGCAGATCAGAGAGACGGTGGGGATTTTTCGCTGCGTGCGTGCGTGCGTGTGTGTGTGTGCGTGCGTGTGTGAGTGTGTGCGTGCGTGCGTGCGTGCGTGCGTGCGTGCGTGTGTGCGTGTGTGTGTGGTGTGTGTGTGTGTGTGTGT